TAATAATATATATATATATATATATATATATATATATATATATATATATAGTAGCCCTAATACTAAAACTATTCCAATATGCCATAGACTGGTCCCTAAGCTGTTCAACAGAATTCATGCATCAGAATTGCTTGCTTAGTGGGGAGAGAAGCACATGCATGGAGTAGTAAAGTGTATGGTATTTCTTTAAAGAGTTTAAGTTATTAATATATAAGTAATTTTTTATACTATCACATTATTTAAATGATATTTATTGATATACTTTTATGTATTATTGAATTTAAAACCTTGAAAATTGAATATATTATCTGATACAGTAGGTAAAAATAATATATAATAATACCAAAACTAAAAGGGTACAACCCTTGTGATTGCATTTGATGAAAGAGGTTTTGTAGTGTTTCAAAATATAGGCTTTATTCGTTTCGTGGTACTCTGCACCTCAAATGATCACTTTACGAATTTGGACCCTTTTTTTGAACTTATGGAATTTTATTAATGTTATTTTTGTTTTCTTTGAGTCGAGTGTCTTTTGAAAATAATTTATTTATATTCAAGAGATAGTGATATGATTTACGTACACTCTATACTTTTCAGACCTTTCTCGTGAGATTCTGTTGGATACTCCCAAGTATCTCATTTATGTTTAAGTGTGCTCAAATATAATCATTAATATTTCCTCCGTTTCATTTTAAATGTCATTTTAACTCAAAATAATATTACTTTTAGAAATTCAAAATTAAGATATTCAATTATTTTCATTTATACTTTAACATTAAAAAGGTTAAATAATTATTTTTGATGTTAGTTCAATTCTCAAATAACAACTAAGATATAGAGATAAGTTAATAAACTATATTTTGTATAAAATAATTAAAGCAACAATTAAACTGAGATGGTGTCATAGGTTAGATTTGATATTAAAATAGTTAAGTCATACTAAATATTAAGAGAACTTTTGTTTTTGTATTTATTTTTTGTTGAAAAAAAAATATATGCAAGCCACCTTTACCTATCAAATTAATAAGAAACATAAAAAAAATACAAGGTGATGTGTAAAATTGGACCTAACATCACTTAAATTTATATAATAAAGAATAAATTAATCTACACTACTTATTGTTAGCGAGTCATATATATAAATTAAAGTTCAAGACTAAGTTAAAAGAGATCAAATAAACATATGATGATTTTGTGTTGTCTTTCTTGTGTTGTCTTTCTTTTAGTTAAATGTGTCTTTAAAATATTAGTACTATTGTAAACTATAGAGAGTACTCTCTGTAAAAATTCCTTGTACAAAATAGCCCCTAGTGGGTATAATGCACCATTTTTATTATTCTAAAAACATTTCTCTATATATATTCTTCAATAAAAAAAACCCATTTTAGGTCCACTTCCTTTATTCAAATCAAATGGACATTTGCAAACTTAGATTTTGATTATTATTTAGCAAAAAATAATATTTTTTTCGTTTCAATTTATATAACATCTTTCGAATTTTGAAATTGTAAATATATATATCTTTGATCTAAATTTTTTCATTATTTTTTTAAAATATTTTAAATTATTAATTATTTATGGCATATAATTTAAAATTTTCATTCACAAACACTCTCAAAAATCGAAATGTGTCACGTATCATAGTAGTAGTGATATATTTAAAAAGTTGAAAAAGGCTTAAAAACCGATAAGAGAGTATGTGTTGGTCGGCATGATTGTGCATGATGAAAATTCTTTTTGGTCCCACAAATTTATTCTTCTTATATAATACATAATAAATAATAATATAAATAAATATATATATACATATTCTTATGACAGACAGAAAAAACAAGAATGAGAAAAAAAAGGAAGATTAGCTAGCTAGAAGAAGAACAAGTAGAGAAAATGGAATGAGAGGTTGCAATAATAATTGCCACAAAAATATAAGGAGATTGAGAAATAGAACAATGATGTCTCTTAAGGTATAGGTTCTTCTACCCCACCACTTGTTGCTTTATTCTTCTTATCCCATCATGCTTATCTTCCAAAGTTGGCACAAAAACTTTTTTCAAGAATATTTTTTATCGTGGAAAGCTTTGTAGGACAGAGAAAATCAAAAGGTTATATATATATATATATAGTGTGTTAGAAAAAATAATGCATACATATTAATTTTGATGTATTATTAATTTCTTGTTTAGTACAATCTTTTCTAATTTAGGTGTAACTTTTTTCATATTTTTGCGTCATATTTATAAATGGTATTATTATAAACAAATTTTTACAATACATGTTACTTTTAATAAATCAAATCAAACACTACATAAGAAATAATATCAACATAACTGATGCAAGTATATATATAATTAATATCAATATTACTAATTATCACATTCAACATTGCTCACCACATCAAGTGATCCCATAATATGTGCTATCACTTCAGATGTCTCAATTAATGTGTCACGATTAAAATTTCGAAAGTCAATCACATTTTTCTTTGATTGAATATAACTATTATTGATTTTTTATATTGTTATATTATTTTTTAATTTATAATTAATATTCAAAAGATTAAAAAATTTCATTTTTTGAATTTATGATCAAAGTTTAGAAATTTGAATTTTTAAATTTCTAACTAAAGCCTAGATAATTTGGAACAAAGAAAATATTATTTTATTATTAATTTGTTATAAAAATAAAAGCTTAACATAATTTTTTGATTAAAAATTATAATAACATAATAATATCATGACATAAGTTAGATTACTAATTTTAGAAAGAAATCTTAATAAACTTTGTATAAAATCAAACTATATCAACTAAGAGTATTTGTTTCTACTTGGAATAATAAAAAGTATTAGTAGTAGTAGGTCTTTGATGCACTATGTAAAAAGCTAAGCATCTCCCACCTCTTGGTGATTTCCCCAAAATGATAATACTCTGAATTTGGTGTTGTATCAAAATAATAGATATGACATCACACATGGGAAGACATACACCAAAAGTTCCATTTTCTTTTAGTTTCTTTGTTGAATCACATAATTCAACACCCCATTAATTATTTGTGGAATCAACTATATAATTAACTCCACATCATGCACATGTGAACTTAATTAATGCATGTTTAATATTCTATTTCAGTACTATGTGAAAGAATGAAATACCCATTCATTCAATACAACATATCCTTAATTAACAGTCCGTGTAAAATAAATATAACTTTATGCACATTATCAATGTCAAAGTTGGAATTTTCATTCAGAATATTTAAAATATGAAGAATTACACACATAAAAAAGATTCAACATCTAATATATATATATACAAAATAATTCTAACAATATAGAAAATAATGTAATTTTTTTATTAAAGAGAGTTCGAATGAACTCCCTGAGTTGTTTCTAGCTTAGCCCCTACTTATCACAATCTTTTTCAAGGTGGTTGGATAATTAACATTTCAATTCCATTATTTAAATCAAAGTCTAAGTTGATCAATTAATGAAAATAAATTCCAAATATTACTTGTCTCTATAATGCACTAGTAGGTGGAAACAAATAGCTAGGACCATTATATTTTCAATAGTAACACTTTTGAGATACCCTAAAACAAAACCAAAAAAAAACGACAAATTATGTGAACCATTGAAAAGGCACCTAAATTCAACATCAAACTTCCTATATGATAGGAACCATTTGGTCCTTATAGAGATACTACATACCAAAATAGGTCCACAAAGCCCTATTTAATAGATTTGAAGCACTTCCACTCAAAATTAGAATAGATACCTTGTGAGTTGTGATGATGCATAAACCCTAGTCATTTTCATATGTAGTACACGTGTAAAAGTTCTTCACTTTACCTCTTTCCGTTATAGATTTAACGGAAAAGAGCAAACGTATTGAAAATAGTTTAAATCTATTCTCTTTTCGATTTATTAAATCTCAATTATCTTTTACATTAATGGTTTGGTTAATTTCTCCTTCCTTCCACCTCTATTAGACCTTTTAATATTAAAGTTTGGGTTAAAATTATGTGTAAATTAGGTATATAGCATTTTCTATATTAATATTTTCAAGATATAGCATTAGAGTTTGTATTTCAATATATAACATTTAATATCTCAAGTAATAGCATATTATTATACACTATAATGTTAATTTGAAATTTAAAAAAAATGTTTTAGAAAAAATGAAAAAAAAAGGGAAAAAAATATAAATGGAAAATGACATCCTTTATTACTTAAATTAAATACAGTTATTAATTGGTGTTAATTGATTAACACGTTTTAAGGAAATTCAAAAAATATTCAGATTAGTAAGTTGCCTTAAATCTCTCAAATTAGTTTAAATAACAATAAATTTTGATTTAATTCCTTAAAAAGCTCTAACAAAATGACATCAACGTACAAGCTATTTTTTTTCTTTCCAATTTTCACTATTCTTTTAGGTTTGCAGCAAATATCAGTTCGCTTTTTTTTAGTAATTGAAAAAATTTTGACGTTGGAAAAAAATTGATTTGCTATGATGGAGGAACATTGTATTTATATTAATTAAACACGATGGAAGTTGAAATTCATCAGGTTAGTTTTTAATTATGATTTGTTGGTTTTGATTATGATTCGCTGGGTTTTAACTTGGAGAATATTTTGTCGATTTTTTTTGTTATTTTAAGATCTGATATAGATTATAGCTTGTTTTTTTGGATGAAACAATAATTTGGTATATATACAGTATCTGAAAAACGACATGTAAATGTATATGTGTTTAAATTTTAATAAAATTGAAGATTCGTGTAATACTTGATTTATTAGACAAAATATAAAAAAGAAATTTGATGGTACAGTGTATTTAGTCACTAGTCAAAAAATAAGTATTTATAATTATGTGGATCGTTGAAGTACGAAAGTTGTATTAATCGTGTATGAACCTTATATGAAAATTGTATTAATTATGTATGACGTTTCTTTTTTGTTGAAACTAGAATATATGTTTCTGTTTGGCATATGAAGGTAAATGTTGGTATAATTTTGTATGAAAACTGTATTTTTTTGTTTAGTTTTTTTTTTTTGTTGATAATGAAAGCTATATTTATTTTTTTTGTTCAGTAATTTTTTTGTTATTTGTGGATATGTGTAATATTAATGGAATTGTTGGTGAAAAAATAGTATAAAATTGATCGAAATATGAAATGCTAGTTTGTTTGTCTGTTTCTGATTTGTAATGCAATGTTTGTATTTATTTTGACATTTATAGTATGAAATGTGTATTATTTTGGTATTAAATATTTTTATTTTATTTTTTAATGGCATGTTTTTTTGGAACTGTTTTTAATGAGCATTAATTTTCCATGTTAGGTAATACCATCGACGGTTGATATGTATGTTGTTGTTGAAGGGTTAAAAAAGTACATAGTAAATTTAAATACAAGGTGTGTAGTTGTTGGAGATTTCACCATTATGAAATACCATGTGATCATGTAATTGCAGTTTTTAGATACAAGAAGCTGCATGAAACATATTTCTGTTCTGTCTTTTATAGCCTGAAGAATTTCAGAGGTGCATATGTCATCCCTGTTGAACCTATCACATGCGAGAGTACGTGGGATATACCTAGTTATATTTCAAAGCCTAAATTGATGTCACCCGGTCCAAGTAGATCAGTTAGAAAATCACATGTTGAACGTTGGATTGAGTTTGCTGATGTGAAATTCAAAAGGTCAAAGGTTACTTGCAGTAGATGTCGTCAAGTTGAACATAACAAAAAGACATGTTCAAATTATCCTGTTAAAAAAAATGACGTCGTGATTTTTACTTTTTGTTACACAACATGTTTTGTTTTATCGAATGAATTTGGTATAATTAATATTTGAGTGGTTGTGATTTCTTAATATTATCCAACTATAAATAATATTGAAACACATTTTGTGTCCGTTTTCAAATTTTATTCTTATACTAATATATAGTTAAACAAGAATCGTACATAGTTCATATAAAAAGCATATATATGGAACAACTTATTAAACATATAATTGTACAGTAAAACTCTTGTTAAAAAGTTCATACATAGATCATACATAGTTCGTACAAAGTTCATACATATGGATCAAAAAAAAATATATGACAGTTGTCATACTAAAACGATAATAAATTGAAAATGTGATATCATGTTCATACTATTAGTAATCAGACTTCATACATATTTCATTCAGACAGTAATAAGTATTCACACGTAATCAATAATTGAAGAAAGATTCATACAAAAAAGCCAACAAATTAGAAATGTAATGTCATATGCCCATACAATTAGTAATCAAACTTCATACATACATCAATTTATATATCAATTCAAACATCATTCAAACATTGTCATATAAATGGAAAACCAAATCAATTTATACACAAAGCATTAAATAAAATTCTAAGGTACTTTCATTCACAAATCATACAATAGTAATACATCAATGTATATATCAATTCATACAACATTTATACACAAGACATACAAACTAATACATCAATCCACACAGATTTATACAATATTAATACATATTACCAGTGTTTGATTGATGTTTGAATTGATACTAATTAATTAAAGGCTAATTAACGAGCAAAACCCAAAGTCCTCTAGTCATCAAAGGCATAGGATCTAGATTATATTTATATTTGAAAATATTATAAAATATATTTATACATATAATTTAACATATAGTTAAAATATAAAATATATTTACATACATGCATGTAAGATTATTTGGTTCGCCTCGATTAAGAAATTTCTCAATTTTTCATAAATTAAAAAGATCATCTCAATTGTTCGGAACTATTATACACTTAAATAAAAGTTCACTATTTTGTTAAAAATGGTACAAATCGGTTTGTTCCAATTAGAATTGATCGGTTCGATTGGATTTTCATTTTCTTTTGACACCCCTAGTTTAAACTAGTGAAAATTTCGCGGTTAAGTAAAATACTACTTAATTACTCATGATAGCTATGTTTGCTATAATTACCTCTCGCGACTAATATTAACAATTAATTATGTGGACTGACTTCGAGTTGTATTATTAGCCACATTTGTATGATTCGCAACTAGCAATTCTTCTTTAGGTTTATGTTTGTATACGATGATTTTATTTGTATATGACGATTATTTTCTTTGGCTTTTTCAGTCTTGTCACCATATACATTAACTTTTTGTGTATAACCTTTTAAAATTTGTATAAACGTGTAGTTTTCAAATTTTGTATAAGTAGTTTGTATAATATAATTTGTACAATATATTTTGTGTAATTGTTTAAAGTTCATATGTTTATGTTTGTAACAAATTGTTATTTCAAGTTTTATCATATTTGTATAAGTCCAGACTTTATATTACTCAATTATACAGACACATGCGAATTACATAAACGTAGCCGCAAATTATATAAATGACATGTAAAGTATACATATTATTGTACTCTCTCTTCGCTCTCCCAATATCGCCTGCCTCTCTTCTCTCTCTCCCAATCTCGCTAGCCTCTCTCTTCCCTTTCCTAATCTCGTTTTTCATATAGACAAATGCATATGTATAATATACAATTATCTATATGATATAAATATACAAGTCACCTCTCTCACACTTTCTGTCCTCTTTCACTCGTCGCTCTCCTCCCTCTTCTAGTATCACTCGCCTCTCTCCTCCATCTCCCAGTACCGCTTGCTATTTGTAAAAATACATATGTATAATATATAATCCTTTAATCAATATACGTATACAATCACCTCGCTCCCACTCTTTGCTCTCTCTCACTCGCCTCTCTCCTCTCTCTCTCTCAATCTAACTCTCCTTCACTCATGCTTATAACATGTAGCTACGAATTTTAATTATCAAACTATAGTTATGAAGAGTAATTAGGTTATTTTGAGTGGCTATATGAGAATGTTCCTCTTGAAACTATAATGTTTTGATAAGATGCGCTCTTGCACTCCCCAATACAATATTTATTTTATATCCTAGCTAATGCGGTGGTTATATGTCATGATCCAATTTACTAGGCCATGTGGGAACCTACTCTAACACCTAAGTAGGAGAACCCTTGATTCCCATTAATTAAAACATGCGGAAGATTATGAAAACTAGCAAGTAAAAGAAATTTAATATAATATTTTTAATAACTCAGAGTTTAAAAGGACTCAAAGTTAAGAATATAAAGTAAGTAACACCCCAGGGATCTAGTCTAAAAAGATACAAGAGATTCTAAGATTATAAAATGCGAACACGATTATCAAGACACAACTCCCACCATGTGGAAGGATAAATAGAAGTTGCTGGAGATTTCCTTCGTCTTCATCTAATGAAACATTACCGATCCTGCATCCAGACTAGGCCAAAAAGGCATAGCAAAAATAATATCAGTACATCTATACGTAATGGTAGATATCATCAGTCAATCTGAATACCCACCGCATAATAAAAAAAACAACTTATGAAACATGCAATAAGACTAATTGTTCCTCCACCTTTATATTTTGCCTACCCTCTACCATTCCGAATATTAACATCATGCTAGTCCACTTACTTCTATCAGCATCTGGCTGCATCTGGCCCACCCTGGCGGGATAATGGCCCTAGTACTAATCCAAAGTCTTGTTTTTCCTAAATAACAACGGTTTGAATCGTTACATTATATTATATCTTTTTACAATATTTCTCACCCTAAATAGTAAATAACTTGAATTGATCTTTTTCTAACTAAGGGTGTACTTGATATAAATAAATATTGGGGGTATTATAATTTTAAATATGACTTATTTCAATCAAATGACCTCGAGAAGCTAAAAAAATCAAATAATTTCTGAGATATTAGTTTTTGGAGCTAACAAAACTATTCCCTCTGTTTCATTTTATGTGTGCATATTATTGTCCTCTCTCTTCCCTCTCCCAATATCGCCTGCCCTTCTTCTCTCTCTCCCAATCTCGCTAGCCTCTCTCCTCTTCTCCTAATCTCGTTTTTCATATATACAAATGCATATGTACAATATACAATTATCTAAATGATATAAATATACAAGTCACTTCTCTCACACTTTCTGCCCTCTTTCACTCGCTTTTCTCCTGCCTCTTTTAATCTCACTCGCCTCCCTACTCCCTCTCCCAATATCGCTTGCTATTTGTAAAAATACATATGTATAATATATAATCCTTTAATCAATATACATATACAATTCACCTCGCTCCCGCTCTTTGCTCTCTCTCTCTCTCGCCTCTCTCCTCTCTCTCTCAATCTGACTCTCCTCTCTCATGCCTATAACATGTAGTTACAAATTCTAATTATCAAACTATAGTTATGAAGAGTCATTACGCTATTTTGAGTGGCTATATGAGAAAGTTCCTCTTGAAACTATAATATTTTGATAAGATGGGCTCTTGCACTCCCCAATACAATATTTATTTTATATCCTAGCTAATGTGGTGGTTATATGTCATGACCCAATCCACCGGACCATGTGGGAACCTACTCTAACACCTAAGTAGGAGAACCCTCGATTTCCAAAAATTAAAACATTCGGAAGATTAAGAAAACTGGCAAGTAAAAAAAAATTCATTTAATATTTTTAATAACTCCAAGAGTTTAAAAGGACTCAGAGTTAAGAATGTAAAGTAAGTAACACCCCAAGGATCTAGTCTAAACAGATACAAGAGATTCTAAGATTATAAGATGCGAACACGATATCAAGACACAGCTCCCACCATGTGGAAGGATAAATAGAAGTTGCTGGAGATTCCTTCGTCTTCACCTAATAAAACATTATCGACCCTGCATCTAGACTAGGAAAAAAAGGCATAGCAAAAATAATATCAGTATAACTACATGTAATGGTAGACATCATCAGTCAACCAGAATACCCACCGCATAATAAAGAAATAAACTTATGAAACATGCAATAAGACTCTCCACCTTTATATGTTGCCTACCCCTTACCATTCCGGATATTAACATCATGCTAGTCCACTTACTTCTATCAGCATCTGGCAGTATCTGGCCTGCCCTGGCGGGATAAAGGCCCTAGTACTTTTCCAAAGTTTTATTTTTCCTAAATAACAACGATTCGGATCGTTACATTATATTATATCTTTTTACAATATTTCTCACCCTAAATAATAAATAACTTGAATTGATCATTTTCTAACTAAGGGTGTACTTATTTTATTTACACTTAATCATATTAAATTGAATTATTGATAAGTTTTATGTATGCACTTGATATAAATAAATATTGGGTGTATTATAATTTTAATATGGCTTATTTCAATCAAATGACCTCGAGAAGCTAAAAAAATCAAATAATTTCTGAGATAGTAGTTTTTGGAGTTAAAGAAAAACTACTCCCTCTGTTTCATTTTATGTGGCAATATTTGACTCGACACGAAGTTTAAGAAATATGAAGACTTTGAAATTTTTACCAAATTGCCCATCAAAAAAAGTAACTCACTTTTCTCCCTCTCCATAAATGTATTAGAAAATTAAATGGGACCAATAAGGATAAACGAGAAATTATACCTTTAAATACTTACCATATAAGAAAATGTGACATTCTTTTTGGGACTGACAAAAAAGAAAATGGTGCCACATAAAATGAGATGAAGGGAGTATTTTTTTTCTCTAGTTTTGAAAAAATAAAAATCTCAATTGTGAGCTAGATATAGTAAATAGACAATTATCACCATAAATTAAATTAAAAGACATCTTGTTTAAAATTGTGCGATTTGTTCAACGTTTAGATTAATTAGCAAAATAAATAGAGCCCCTTTTACTTTGTAAAGGAAAAAAGTGACCCTTTTTTACTCTAACTTAAGATTGATATATTTTTTATATATAAATTCAAAGACATAGATTAGTATATATTAACAAAAAATGAATTAATGTCGACCCTTAGT